TATAGGTTCTAAGTAGTAAATAACAAGCAAATTTCCTAGGCTATATGACATCTTAAGTATCAGGAAATTCTAACTGTCAGTTCCTGAAAAGATCCCTAACCTATATACTAGCATGCATTTCTAACATTTCACATTTAAGCAACTATAACAAATATAAATATTTTGGGAATCACTTTTATTTTCTGAGATTTGGTTAAATGTACACATCGCATTCTTTCCTTTTTGTATTATTCTTTTTTATAAAAATATTTATTAATTACTCAGATCCTTAGTTTGAGTCTGGAATCACACGAGTGTTCATCCAGTTCACTCAAAGCAGAGTTTTGATGCCAAATTGTAACGTCCTGATTTTTCAAAGGCAAAATTTTCATTTTTATTTATTCAATTTTCAATTAAATCGGAGTATAATGCGGAAACATGATTGCGAATGCACGTAAGTACAATTGAACCTTGCCTTTCTCACGAACCAATAAATTGCCTGAAAAACATTTATAACAACTAGGTAAGTGCTAGGCTTATTGATTTTCCTAAAATACCATATACCACAATATATATACAATGCATACACATAATAGCCTTCAATATATAACTGGTCCGCCCTTTAGCCTTCAACATGAAACAGGTCCGCCCCTTTTTTTTCCTACATCGTAAATTTGGACTGCACCTTGGCCTTCATCATAAATTTGGTTCGCCCAAGTATATTGGCCTTCAACACAAGGCTGGTCTGCCCTCAACTCCCCACGTAATATATCAATACATATAAGCAGTACAACAAGCAATAATCCAAAACTACCGTCAACTAACAGAACTATCCTAGATGCATACTACAGGGTAACTATATCCTAAGATATATTGGATATATACCGGAGCACATAATATAGTGAGAAAACGCACCTGGACAATTACTCATACGATTTGACAGCTATCTGGGCGATTCTATAGGCGATCCAATCTGGCTGGTAACGCGCCTAACGAGTATTAACCTATAATACTAGATCTTTCACTAATCCTAATGAATACTGAGAGTTCTATCAAATAAGGATAAGTTATGCAGGATAGTTGGGAGGCAGGATCATTTTGACATTTAGCTTTTCTGAAATTCAACAACCAAGCCAACATAACCATTTTAGACACCTCTCACTTAAGTAGATCAATCAACATTATAACTGGAATTACTGATAAATCCTATTTATACATTCATAACAAAGACTATGAATATAAATATAAGCTACACTTAGAGCATAATAAGTATAGCCTAACTTATAGAGAGTTACTAGTGAAACCGGAAGATTGCACTGGCAGAACTCCGACCCGAGAGCTTCTATTTCTCCAGCCCTCTGATGTCGCAGGGCCTCGCTAAATTATTCGAAAATTAGGGAATAAAGGGACTAAGAGTAGGAAGGAGTTCCAGAGATGTTCCGGAGGAAAAGGGATGTGAGAAATAATTGAAAATCGTCGTCTATTTATAGAAGGGAAAAGGGTGTGTGTTGCGTTCTTGGTCGGTGCATGTCGCGCACTTGGTCGGGGTGGGGGGACGTGGCTCCAGCAGTTGTGTGACACGTGGCAGCTTTTAGGTGGTGTGGTAGTGTGCGTCGCGCACTTGGTCTGCGCGCCAGCTCGCGTGCAATTTATTTGATTCTTCAAAAATCATATATTCTCCATACGAGCTCCGTTTTCGATATTATTTATATCCACGCATAGATATCAACGAGATCTACAACTTTTATATAGACTATGTCGGCTAATTTTCACTTTATTTTTAAAGCTATATTTTTAACAGGCATAGATTATTAAAGCCCGTATAAAAATCATAACTCTCTAATGCGATATCTATTCTCGGTTGTCTTTATATCGACAGATATGTATCGACGAGATCTTCAATTCTCGTTTAGATTGTTTTTCCCAACAATTGAATGGTCCTAATTTAAGTTTTTGTGTCACGCACTGCTACGCTGCAACTCCTAAAAATCGTAACTTCCCCTTATGAAGTCAGATTTGTACGTTTTCTATACGCACGCTCTCAGTTTTGCGATTACTATGACTTTCGTCAAGACTATTTTCCCTAAATAGTCTTCTATCAAAGACATTTATTTGTGTGACTGTTTGTTTATATTATAAGACTAAAATGAGGTGTTACATTTTGTGACCTTATCGTCTTTCAAAATTTCATCAATGTTGTCCACGATTGATGAAGGAAGGACAAGGAGCGATCGACTGAATCCGGACCGAAAAACCCGAGAATCGAATAAGCCTAATATAGATACCCGAAATCCGAACCGAATTGCTTATTTGGGCCTAATTCGGGCTTTCGGTCCAAAGGCTCATCCCTAATCCAAATTCTTTCATTTTTTATGACATGATATGTTGGTAATATTAGTGCCAACATGTCATTTTAGTATAATAGAATTTACACATTATCAACGAAGATCAAATATTGATTTTAGACATGTTCATAGGTCCGACCAAACGGCGAAGGTCAAGGGTCTGTGCCCCCTTGCAGGGTTATAAAGGCATCAGTCATCCCTAATAAAGATATAATACTATTTTTGGAAAAAAAAATCATAATTATCTTTGGAACCGTCATCCCTAATTAAATGGATACAATTATTATTTAATGACGACTGATATTATCTTTGGTATTCAGAGGTATTTGAAAGGCTATAAATCCCTAGTTCTTAGCCACTTATCAATACCTTGATAAAGACTGTTCCATGAAGATTATCCCTATAATCTGAATTTCGTGTAACACATGCATATGGTCGAAATATCATATTCAGAAAGTGATCACATGATCTTTCAAGCAGATTAAAGCAATTCATTGATTTCAGAAACCTTCTTCTCATCCTCCCAAAACTTAACAATTTTCTAATCTAGATTTCGTATAACCCAAGCATAGGGTCAAAATATCATATTAAAAAAGTGATCACATGATCCTTAAAGCAGATCCAAACATTTCATCAATTTCATAAACCTTCTTCTCATCATCCCAAATCCTACCAATTTTCTAATATGGATTTCGTGTTGGAGTCAAAATATCATATGCAGAAAATGTGAAGTGGATCCAAACAATTCATCGATTTCAGAAACCTTCTTCTCATCCTCCCAAACCCTAACATGATATCTTTATGTCACATGTTGTACAACAAAAACAAATTCACCATAAAAATAAAAAAAATCATCTTTCATTCATTTCAACATTTCAACATGAATTTGACCTCAATAACCTTAGTATTATGCAAGAAAATGCATTAATTCTAATGTCACATAATTGGTTATATGTGAGGTCATGTGTATTGCTTTTCAACTTGAAAACTAATTTAACGTATACGATAGAAGAAACCATACTACAAAAATCGATTGCTACATTATATATATATATATATATATATATATATATATATATATATATATATATATATATATATATAATTTAAAACATAAAACTGAAGTTGATCGATCCAGCATAATTTCTCCATTCTCGATTTGAATAGTACCACCATAATATAATTTTGCCGAAATGGTCAACTTAAAAACTCGGAAACAAATCATTAAGTTTGGATTAAAGATTTTTGCAAAGGTACGAAGGTGTACCATGACATACTCATTCGATTTAAGTATAAAAAAAAATGAGATAACAAAATCAATGAAAGTTTTGTTGTGTTGAGACTCAATTTATAATCCTAAGTTCTCAAAATAAATGAACTTCGCAACAAAAGTTCACGGAAATATAAGAGATGGTTTGGTTTAGACTGTGTTGATACCAAGGAAGGGGGCTAAGGTGCTGTTTGTTTTTTCGAAGCGAAAATTCATGACGTCTGCGGACCACCTCTGCAATCCTCTGTAGCAGAAGAGGTGGAACAAACGGCTGCAGCCTATAATAAGAAGCATGTTTGTTTTTTAACATCTGCAGACTGCTGCAGTAAACTGAAATTTAAATAAACTAATTTTATAAACTGAAAATAGTTCTCAACACCGAAATTTAATAATTCTAATCTTAAAACATTGAAATAATAATAAAAGGAACATGTAAAAAACAAAAATATAAAACTTTTTTTTAAAGAAAAAACTTAAAAAAATGTAAAAGAAGCTAATAGTTTTATTCTAGAAAAAAAACTAATTTTAAAAAACATTAAAAAAGAAAATAATAAAAAAATTAAGAAAGTATTGCAAACGATGTCTACAAAGTTCGTAAAAAGTTACACATGTTAAAAAAGATGCAACTGAAATTGAAAATATTATTAATAGAAACGGTAAAAAAAAATAAAAAAAATCAAGTTAAAAAAAATCGTGGAAACTATAAAAATAAATTGTATCACATCCGTAAATAAAAATTTAAGAAAATCAAAGTTTAAAAAAAATAAGTTAAAAAAAATAAGTTATACAAAAATTCTTAAAAAAACACTTGGAAAAAATGAAAACTGAAGAGTTAGAAGAGGCAAGTCAAGTGCTGCGCCACGCAGCACACGCGCAGAAGTTTTGTAGTCTGAAGTCTTCCAAAAAACAAACTGTTGCGAGAGGGAAAGTATTGCGCGTGTGCTGCGCCGCATAGCAATAAATGGTTTGAAGAGGTTTTTCTAAAAAAACAAACAGAAACTAACTCTTTGGATGATATACTAAGACATAAATTTGCTTTTGCCAATCCTAGATTTGAACTTAGTCACTCTTTAGGAAATGTTTATTATATTCTCTCCCACAACCAACGTGGTAATGGTTCATTTACATATGGTCTAAATGAATTAATATTTTATGTAATAAATTGATAGGTGAAAAAAGAAAATAAGAGCAATTGTTACACTATTGAGGTATAAGGGATATATAGAAAGGATCTACCAATGGCATATAATTATGGATTCCTGGCATCTCTCTCCAGATCCTTCCCTCTCTTCTAATCTGACGGCTCTCCTTCAGCTCCCTTCTCCTTCATAAATACAACGCCTTTCTCTCTTCGCCTCACCACACACACACACTACAACTTGACATAACCAGACACAGTTATCAACATGAGCATCGCCTTGGATTCTCCCATGGAGGCGATTGCCATCCACGGTGTTCTCACCGCCGTTAACAATGTATGGGCATGGATAGCCTTTCTTACCGCAGCTATTAGCTTCTGGAAGATCAAATCCTCCATCCATCTCTCAACTCATCATCTTTTCCTACAATTATCACCACCACCACCACCACCATCTCCGCCTCTACCCAAAACTTCCCCGGTGGCTGCTCAGCCTGATCAATCGGAGCTGCCTTCCACTAGCGCGAGATCTCCTTCCTCAACCTCAAAGAGACACACCACATTTTGTAAGTTAGAGAATAGGAAAAGCGGCAAGTTTAGCGTGTACTACTCACAAGATGACAAGACAAAAGGAGATAAGATTGATGGCGAATTCGAAGAAGACATTGATAGTGACAGAAAGATGAGTTCTATTACGCGAAATGGTGAAGAAGAGGTGAGAAAGATGAGTTCAGTTAGGTGTAATCATGGAGAAGATGGATGGGAAATGTTATTGAAGATAAAGACGGCGGAGATGGGGTGGTACGTTAACCAGGATTTAACGGTGTTAAACGGTAATGTAGTTCGATTATGGAATTGAATCAAATCACATTGTTTGCATGATGTGTTTTTGGATTAGAATCATCTTCGTTCTTTTATATAATTTTCAAGTGTATATACATGAAGATTGAAATCGTTTAGTTTTTGTAATTATTATTGCATAACTCCATTTGAGAATAAACAAGGAACGGTTTCATTAAGAGATTGGATGTACCTATGGATGTAATCAAGTCGAGTCAACTCGTGATATACTGAGTATTACTCTGATGACGCTCACTAACTTATTTGAGATTAGTTATGTTAACACTTAAACTCCTTTATTTTATTTAAATTTACATAACTGAATCGAGTTGAGCTCGCGAGTTTAATCGTATTTTCTTTCATTTTAATATAATATCATTTTTCTTAATAATTAATTGAGCCGAGTTCGAAGGTGTCCATTACTTAATCAAAGACAAACCCAAGCTTGAAAGTAAGGCTTTTTAATGGAATTGAGTTTCGAACTTAACATATTCAGCAAGACTCGATTACATGTCACCATCACCATTGGTTTCCAGACCTAATTTGGATTAATTAACTAAGAGTTAGGTGGTAGAGTGTCAAATTTGGCCCATCTATAATCCCACTTGTTCTTCCTCTACGAAAATACTAATCGTTGATTCTTAATTGGACGAATAAAAAATGGATTTATGATTAATTTCACCAATATCTTATACTCGTTTGTTAGCTGATGAATTTAGAACCATAAACAAAACATAATTTTGTGGGTAACACAAAAATAGAAATTTGTTGGCTTGTATTTAAATAAATATAATATATAAGTGTTGGCTATGAAATTGATGGGTATCTTGATGACGAAGGAGCCACTGCCAACCGAGCATAGCGTGGGTGTTAGTTTTGCGTGATTTGTGAATTGTTTTGTATTAAATAATTTGCGAATTTCCATGTTTCTGGTGGCCTAAAACCAAAATCTTCATGTCGTGTCTAGAATGCAAATATGCAATCAGAACATTCATGCATTTGTTTTTGTTTGGTTGGTTGCGTGTTACAATCGTTCACGTATGTACAAATTATCATTATTGTTTATACACATCCATATAATTATTTATCCGAAATATTAAAATACGTTAATAAAAGTGCTTAATAGAATTGGAAAATGGTTTTATAGGATAATGAATTATTATTTTTATACATATTTAGTAACTTATTTTTTATAAGATTTACCATTAAATTTATATCTATTGTTCAAAAATATATATATATACAATTTTGACCGGATATTGCATACCTGACCAATTTACATGTTTGAGAAAAAGAAATCTCCAATAAAGTCACAATATATTGGGTCGGTTTAATCTTAACGTTTATTTTTTCAACAAAAAAATCTCGATTATCTAATTTTATACGATAATCTTTCATTTTCTGTTGAAAAAAAAAATGATTGTTTCGTTAATTTTGGCAAAATATAAAAGAGATTTTGCCGGATATAGACATTTTTTGGGGTTGAATTCCAAAAAATAGACACAAAAAATCGAATTTCCAGATGTAGACATGGATTCCGCGGATGTGACCTACGAGGGCTCCGCAGAATGAGTATAAGCTCCGCGGAATCGATGTGAGCCCTCGCAGCTCACATCCGCGGAATCCATGTTTATGTCTGGAAATTCGATTTTTTGTGTCTATTTTTTGGAATTCAACCCCAAAAAAATGTCTATATCCGGCAAAATCCATATATAAAATAATAATGACTTTTCTGTTCAAAAAATAAAAGTTACGATTAAACTGTAAACTGACTCAAAATATTAAAACTTTATCGTAGATTTCCTTTTGAGAAACACCATTAAACTCATACATCATTAAACTTACATTTTCATATACGATTTATCAATAAACTAAGTTTTGTAGACATTTAGTCGCTTTCATCTTTTCCTGTCATCATCAATTTCCGATTTATTCTCCGGCTAATACAATTCCAAAGATGACCGCAAAATAGTTTATTAGTAAATCGTGTAAAAAAAACATTAACATATAATACTCGATTAAAATTGTATATTTTAAACATTGTATATTTTAAACAGATGGAATGAGTTTTATGGTAAATCATTAAAAAAAAATAACTAAATTTGTACAAAGTAATAGTTATTTATTCTACAAAACTCTTTCCTTAATGGGCTATATACAAGTTAATTGAATTAAAAGGCACATTTCACTTTTTACTTTTAAAACCAATAACAATCCAATCAAAAATAATTGATTTGCTGATTAATCAATCTAATTTAGACAACAATCGATTTGCTTATCAAGCAATCTAATCCAGATAACAATCAGATAACGTTGCACTGTATGCACATGGTTTAGTAATGTAATACAAACCATTTAACTTTGTTGACGTTAGATGTTGAAAGGAAGGTGCAATCAATTCATGAAAGCTGAGCACTCCTATCTCAAAGAAAAAAAAACATATGATCGTTGTAATAATACCATTTAATACCTCAAATGTCTTTTGACGAGACTTTAAGGTTAAAACAATTAATTACATATCATGCATGATCAATATTACAAATAATTTGGAGTAAATAAGAAAAGTCATTCATGGATAAGTGAGAAATACAGAAAAAATGACAAGTTAAATGATAGCATAACTTTTGTTCAATCGGGAGTTATCACACTTGTCTGATATATATGAAATAATGGAGTTCATCAGATACTTTGAAGCCTATGGGAAGCTTGCTAAAGGCTGCAATTCATCCTTTATTACTCTTGTTCCTATGGTCAGGGACCCTCTCTTCTTTCGGATTTTCGCCCCATCAGCTTAATTGGATCTCTCTATAAAATAATTGCTAAGGTTCTAGCGATTCGTCTCAAGGCTGTGATAGGCACTGTGGTGGATGATGTTCAACATATGTTGAAAGCAGGAATATTCTGGATGGCCCACTAATCGTCAACGAGATATGCTCATGGGCAAAGAAAGTCAGAAAGAAGGTGGTGTTGTTCAAGGTCGATTTTGAAAAGGCCTTCGATTCGGTTAACTAGGAATATTTGGACTCTGTAATGAGTCAAATGGGTTTTAGGCGTAAATGGAGAGGATGGATTCGTGATTGTCTTAGCTCATCCCGAACATCAGTTATCATCAATAGCTCCCCCTCTGATGAATTCGATATACAAAGGGGGGTCCGACAGGGAGATCCACTATCCCCATTTCTCTTTATCATAACAATGGAAGGGTTGAACGTGGCACTGAAGGAAGTTTGTAATCAAGGAATCTTTTCGGGCTTGAAGATTACACGGAGGCCCCTCCTTGTCACATTTATTCTACGTCGACGATGCTTTATTTATGGGGGAATGGTCCAAATCTAATCTTAAGAGTCTCGAGATGTTTTCATGTATCTTCTGGATTAAAAGTAAACTTTCACAAATCCAAGGTATTTAGATTATGGGCTTCGATTAATAAAATAAACAATTGGGAGTGTATTCTTGGATGTGAGTCAGGTTCCCTCCCATTCAAATACCTTGGGGTACTAGTTGGGGCAAATATGAATCTCTGCAAGAACATGAAGCCAATCATTGACAAATTCAACTCAAATTTGTCCTCATGGAAATCAAAAACCTTGTCCTTTGGAGGTCGAGTAACATTAGTCAAAGCTGTCATGGGAAATCTTCTACATACTATATGTCACTATTTAAAGCCCCTGTGGGAGTCATTGAAACACTCGAAAAGATCCGTAGTGAATTTCTTTGGAGAGGTGGTAATGATGGCAAACCGAAAATAAGATGGGTGGCATGGGACAATGTCATTGCTCCTAAGAAGAAAGGTGGATTAGGAGTTGGGTCGCTACACTCCTTTAATATTGACCTATTAACAAAATGGTGGTGGAGGCTAAGAACTAACCAGGACTTGTTATGGGGCGGTGTTATTACTAGTATACATCGCTTATTAGATAAGTCATCAAACCACTTATCTTGTCAAAGCATTGTAGGCGTATGGAGCAATATTGCTGCGGGATTAGTGATCGTCACTTTACACAATCGTGTGAACTTCTCGATTTTGCTGCCTCCTGGGGACACTACCCCAAAAAAAAGGAAACTATTTCTGGCCATTTGTTATGGCATGTTTTGGTGGATATGGAAAGCTCGGAATGAGAGGATATTCCAAAATGCCAAGATATCTCCTAACAAAGCTGATGATAATGTTATTGCTATGGTATTTCTTTGGTGTAAACATAGGGGGGTAAAGAAAGATATCAAATGGGTGGATTGGGTAGTTTCTCCCTTTTTATGTTTGTAATTTGCTAAAAACTGTTGGTGTATTTTTTTTTCTGCTCTGGCTAGTATCTTGCTAGGTTGGGCTCTTTTTTAATCTTATTTTCCGTTTCCAAAAAAAATATATATGAAAAGCTCTCATCAGGTTTGCCCATACCTAAATTTCACAGTTTGCAAGTTTGATTTTCAATTTCCTCAAATTTTGGTTCATTTTCGGTTTCGAAATATTCTGTTTTAATTGTAAAATGGCATGATTTCCTTAATTTCTAAAAATCAAATGATCATATATATAGCTATCCAATTTCAATAATATAATGTCAATTTAAGTCTTCAGAATTTGGTTATATGTGTCAAATCGCCATATATAAATTGTTTATTTTAAGTTTGTAAGGGCATCTTAAATTCAACAAATTCTCCCCTACAATTTTTTCTCAAACACTCATTGTTCTTTATTCATTCCGCATCAGAATCTTATTACAAAAAAAAAAATTAAAGTTTTTTTTAATGACAAAAAAATAAAAGGTTAATGTAGTATAATGTTGGATAAAATAGGGTTTGTAGTGGAGATCTGGATACCTCTTGGATCGTGCGAACACTTTTCGAACTGATATTTCTACCCTATGTCTGGGTTGCAAGAAATCCAGTCTAGGATAATCCAAGAGGACACTTACGATTCTAGGCACAGAAGTCGTAAGCCAAATTACTAGAAGGATTCTGTGTTTGTTTGATGAAAACGAGAGCTTAAGAATTTTGTATGTCTCTTCTCAAAGAGAATAGTCG